TATGTGTTTTTTCAGTTTTTGTTCTGTTTGTTGATGTTTGAATTTTTAAATTTAATTTTAAGGTTTATTTTTGAAGGGCTGAGGTGATTTTTTTGGATTGTCCTTTTGGATGATCTATGACGGTTTTATAGAGGAGAAAAGTTGTTTGTAGTGTATTTGAAGTTTTGAACATGAATTGTATGACAAAATTGGTAATTTGTGATGGCATTTGCAGGCTGTTTTTGCCTTCAGTTATTAGTCTTTTAATTAGTTGTTCTATTTTCTGTTCTATATATTGTCAGCTTGTGGCACATAAACATGTCTGAGTGTTTTTTTCTATTTTTTTTTTTTCATAAAGATCTTTCATTACCTTATTGAGCTCATTGAACTACCACAGAATTCTCAAAGTTATGTATTGTCATATGTTCAATTTACTAACTGGTAAAAATAAATTACTAGGAAAAACTATATTTGTTACAAATGAAATTTATCATTTTCATTAAATAGTCCATATACAATTTCATTTCATTTCTCCACAATGAACTCTTCTATTTCAATCCCAGTGTGCCGAGCGCCTCCTTGTGCTCTCAGCAAAATTTCGTCGCTTATTTTCAGAGAAGTCACCGGAATTGCTGTATGTTAAATGGTGTCATATAACAATGGGTAATAATTTTTCTCTAAATATTAATAATGCTTTAAACAAAATGTAAGATCTGAGTAAACATTTACCTCCCTCCAATGAAACTAATGCAACTGTTTCAGCATTTTGCAGAAGAATGCTGTACGAAGTTTGACTGTCATCATCTATCTGTTACATCAAATGTATTATTAAAAACTCGGCATGTTAATCTGGAGCCAAAATTTAAGATCGAGTAAAAACTCGTTTGTTACAAACTGTAAAAAACTGTGATTCGGATCTATATCGAATTTCGAAGATGAATGTTGCTTTTTTTTTTTTCTTTAAGCTCAACCAGAATTTTGTATATATGACTGAATATTAATTAACAGGGGATCAAATATTTGATTGTTTTCGTAAATAGAGAGAGAGAGTTTCAAGTTTCAACCTTTGCCTCGACAAGAATTAATGGCCTTGTTTCTATCTTCACACGACCAATAATGGCTGTTCGTTGCTTCCCGTTTTGATCGACAATTAGTACATTTTTCCCAGCTTTTAATTCCGAAAGGTAATTAGTTTTTCCACCAGGAACAGCTACATAGGCATGAACCGGACCCTAAATTTTTCCTAATTATTCATTTATTCTTTAAATGAAAAAAAAGGGGAGAAGGCAAATTAAAGTGAAATTATACTTCACGAGCCAGGAAAAAAGCAGTAAAATAGAAACGAAACTTACTGCATTGACCCGAAAAGGTCTACTGGAAATGTAATTAGACTCCAAGCATTCTGAGTGAACGAGGAAGAGCCCTCTTGCAAAAGATCCAACCTTTGACGAACAAAGCACATAAACAAGTTAGTTGCATTTTCTGATTAATTAAAAATATTTTCGTGCTAATTAAAGGGAAATCGAGTGAGAACCAGAAGGCCTTCACCGGGTTTCATTATGCTGCATAGATCAACACAGACACGATCTCCCATACCAACAGTTTGAATATTCGTTACAACTGCTTTTGTCACTTCCAAAAGGCTGCCCTCATCGTCTCTTTTGTCCAAATAATGCTGATGATATGGACATTCTTAATTAATTACCAAAAACAGCCCTTTGATAGTACTTTAAAACAGCATTCTTAATTACTGATGGTAATTATCCATGAAAGAACATAGAATTGTCGATAAAAGGAATTACCTTCAGCTGAATGATGGACTCAATATCCTCAGTTTTCAAAACAACACCATCCAGCCCGTGCTCCAAGGCCTACTAGAATAGATATATCAAGTTCATAAATTTTTTTTAGGCAATATTATCGAGTTAATCTTCATAATACATAATATTAATAGAAAATACATATATGATTTAATTGAAAACAACCTCAAGAAACATTTGAGCTTCAGATGATGTCTTGGAGACTGCAAATACTGTTTTTCGAGAGGCTTGAATAGCTGCAACAATATTTTCTGCAGGTATTGCCTAAAAAATCAAATAAGTGCCAATAAGACACTCTAGCAAGTCGAAAAAGATCAAGAAAATCAATCATAAAGGATACACATAGAAACATTGGGGGCCAACTAAATTACCCGCCAGTCGAGCAGATTAACAACTACATTCTCTGCTTGTTTGTTCAATGGCTCGAGCTTCTCCAGCTGCTCGGGCGAAGAAATTTCAAAGAAAGATGCGATTTTTATGCGCTCACTGTCAAAGAGTCCTCCTTCCTCAATGAATAGAGGATATAATAATGCAATTGCTGCACAATTCATAACTAAAAATTTAATAAAGTGTCATAAAATCTATGCTAGCATAAAACTATGAATCTATAACCCCTTTCAACATTTTTCACTCACAATTCCAGCTTATTTCATAAATCTGTAAAAATGTATAACAAAACAAACACATTCTTTAACGTATAAAACACAGCGCACACACATTCACACGCACTAAAGAGGGCATTGTGTTCGTACAGGACCAGTCGGCGGCGAGTTCGCGGCGGTCGGAGCGAAAGACAAAAGTATTCCAACCTCTTTCCACGGCGGCCGTCATCACCTCCTTCTTTTCCGTCCATATCCAAACTTTCTTTTTCTGAGAATTTGCAGAAGCACCCCCCCGCACGAGCATTGATTTTGCCAAATAGGGTTCGGGTTGAAATCGGGTCCTCTTCCTCCCCCGAATTGACAGATGGGTCGATCTGCAATCCCCCAATTTGCCTAAGAATGTTGCACAACTGTTACAATGATGGTTAATCGATCGAAAAAAAAAAAGAAAATAAAAATATGATCTTGAAAGAGGGTGTGAACGATAAAGTTTCTTTGCTTGATAGAAATGAAAAACGAGCAAGAAGTGAGATTTTCGGACCTCCGGCGATAAATTGGAGCAGAGGAGCTGAAAGCATTCGAGTAGACATTTTCAAAGGCTGTCAATTTTCAATTGTAGCCTTTTTCTCATTTGCCCACTAAAACATTGTGATTTAACTCTTGTTTGGTCACAAGCTCGGCTCGACTCATTAATAAATGGGGATTTTTATGCTTTTTTTAATTTTTAACATAATAACGACTCGAGTTCGAACTCATTTATTGGTTTGTTAAATTAACGATTCCAACTCGAACTTGACTCGAGTTGAACTTCAACTCATTTACAACTCTAAAGTTGTCTATATGCTTTGTTTGGCTCATCTAATCAATTTTTCTTTCGCCAATGATAAAAAATTAAAATATTTTGTTTTCCTGGAATTCATCAAATCGTGATTAATTATTAATTTTTACATCACACCAACTTTTTCATTAAAAGAAAAAAGTATATTAATTCTTATACTAACTTCCTTTGATTATTAATTCTTTTCACCAACAAAAAACCATACACAAATGCAAGCCATAGACTCACTCATAGTCCATTCATTACAATCTATCACATTCTTGATGCATCAGAAGCTGGGAAAACCAGATTCTTATCCTTACCACATCCTGTTTGATGATATCTAATTGGACAAGACACAATCTTTTTCCCATTCCCATCCAAACATATATAAATCTCTCTAAGAAAAACGCGGCCCTTCAAAACTCGACACGACACGTAAAAATGCCGGGCCCCAATCTCCCGTTTTACAGCAGCCTCGATGGCTTTAACGGTGTACAACAACGACCCGTTATTGGGCTTGATGTTGTTGCTAGTCAAGGCCCGTAATAAATCGAGCTTTCGTTGTGTGGTAGTAATCAGCTGCAGATAATCGTGCACGGTCATTCTTGATAACGCGCACGAGCCGTGTTTGTCCCATTGGTATTGCCAAAAGTTCGCGTTCGTCAGATCAGCTCTTATGGACGGCCATGAATGCGCCAGCTGTCTTTTGTATTTGCTAATCTGCGAAAGGTGGTAAAAAAAGCCCGTTTTGCGCGAAAGATGGATAAAAAAGAATGTGAGAAAAAAAGGCACTTACATCCGAACATATGCTTCCGGTCTTATAACAATGAGTTAAAGGTTTGCCCGATTTGTCGGCTGGCCAAAGCCCGTGGATCACGAAATTCTGAGGCACGGGCTTTTTGCACGTTATGTTTCGGTCCAAACAAAACGTGTTTGGCCAAGTGTGAACTAGTTGAAAATGATCGTACGAAGTTTTACGTAGGCTCCAAGCAGAGCATAAACACAAGAGGAAGAAGACACAGAGGAGAAGACTATTGTCTGGTTTCTTCATTATTTTTTTTTTCAGAACCGATTTTTCATCTTTTTTTTTTTCGTTTTTCCAGACGATTTCTTGGTAATAAATATGCGAGTGAGTCGATCGTGCTTCATGCATCATGTAGCAGATAGAATTGTCTATATAATTCGAAGGATCATTTGCATTTATGATTTTGGCTAAAAGCCTAAAGGGCATTCTATCTCTCTTCCCTATCTCTTTTTACTTTCTCTTTTAGCTAAAGCGCTATAGTTATTCGAAAAATCAAAAGTTCGATTCGATCATTAATGGTTATTCTTATTCTCGTTTCAAATGTTCACATCAAAACAACATCATTAGTTAACTTGTTCGACTCAAGTACAATATTCGACGATGAACGCTAAAAAAGGATCATTTCTTGATCGAGAACGAATAAAGCATGTAATGCTTGTAGCACTTTCCCGGAAAAACAATCTGCGAAGGAAAATTCGGGTGGTTCACCGAATCCGGAAACCCCTGAGTCTCCAAACACAAAGCCGAGTGAGGCTCGTAAACGAACCCGCCTTTCCCTCTCAAATCGTGCACGTAATTACCCGTGTAGAGCTGCACGCCCGGCGCATTTGCCGATAGCTTCATAACCCTCCCCGATTTTTTACTATACACAACGGCCACGGGCTTCATTTTCGGCCCATTGGGCCCGTCGACCACGTAATTGATGTCAAAACCTTTGGAACCTTCCGGAAGTTTCTTGATCGGGCCCTTTATCGCGCGGGCCTTGAGAAAGTCGTACGGCGTGGACTCGACTGGCGAGATTTCGCCTGTCGGGATTAGGCCTTTCCCGACTGGCGTGAAGTGAGAAGCGAATATTTGGAGCTCGTCCGAGAGAATGTTGCCCGAGTTGTGGCCGGCGAGGTTCCAATAGGTGTGTTGGGCCAAGTTTACGGGCGTGGGCTTGTTAAGGGCTTGGGCCTTCATTTTCATGCTTAGTTTGTTGGGCCCGAGAAGAGCGTAAGTTACCGAAGCCACGACATCGCCGGGAAAGCCTTTTCATAATATTATTAAGGAGAAATATAGAAAATTATATAAAAATTCCCTTTTCGAGACTTATCGAGTCGAACTGGGCTCATTAACCAAACGAACTTTAAATGAGCTCGAGCTTCGAGCCGAGTCAGGCTCGTTTAAATTAACAGCATAATATTTTTTGCTAAGAAGAAGAAATTAGAATTGGTTAAGTTAAATTTAGTTACCTTCTTCACCATCGTGGCTGTGATATGTTAAGGTAATGTAGGGAGATTGGCCATGTTTGACATGTTTCTTCACCTTCCAAGCCACTTGGCTGAATCCTTTCTTACCACCTGCGTGCAAAATTATTATAAGATGCAAAAATTTAAATATTCGTTCTAACTTTAATGTTTAAAGTATACATTTTTTTAACTTATAGTAAAACGCAACTCGGATTTCATAAACATTCACAATTCTTAATTTTTCGTGTATCTTGATCATACATCTTGATTATATACGTGTGTAATTCTGCAAATGATGTATGGTCAAGATGTACGGGAGATGCGAATTATGATTGTTTATAAAGTTTAGGTTGCATTTTTTTTCAAAAGAAAATTATAAAAGTCAAAAAAATACGTATAGACAAATTGAGAAAAAAAAAAAATGTATTGCCCAAAGAAATAATATAAATAACATATTTAAAAGGAAATTGAAGGGAAAAAAAATGTACCATGGAGCATGTTATTCCCCTCATTAGCATCAAGTTTGTAAACAGTTCCGTTTAGAGTAAACTTGGCGCCAGCAATGCGGTTAGCAACTCTTCCAACAATGGCTCCAAAATAACTAGTGTCGTTCTGGACCACACGGCGCCGTTTCAGTGATTAGTGTGAACATTTTTTCACAATACATGTTAGTTTAATTTTTTCTTTAAAACAAAGAACATAAATAGCTAGCAAAAACAGGACTAATATGTGTCACAGGAGCTATATCACTACCATATTTTTAGTTGAGTTAATTTTAGTAGAGTTTTGTGTTGTTTAATTTATTTAATCTTATATCTATATCTATCTATCTATCTATCTATATCTATCTATATCTATATCTATCTATCTATCTATCTATCTATACTATTCTAAAAGGACGAGTGTTTTTGTAAAAGTATGAACTACCTAAAATAACCTTACTTTGACATATTTTTAATGGTAAATTAGTAATACAGTAATACATATTTTAATTTATATTTTTAATTAAAAAAATGAATTACCTAAAAAACTCTTACTTTAACATGTTTTTAATGGCAAATTAGTAATACACTAATACCTATCATATCTTATAATTTTAATTAATAACTAATGTTTAATTACTTAAATACAAATACATGAACAATACATTTCACATCTCCTAAAAATCAAACACAATATTCACGCACCATTATTTCTCACGAAATTGCTTTCTTCCACATATCTCCCAAAAATCAACCTAACATCAACCTAAACAATAAAGTTTTGAAAAGATATAGAATTGTTGTTTTAAAAAAAAAAAATCCTTGTTTTTAATATAATTTTATACATTATCTGACAAACTATAAAAGTTGAACAATTCATTTAACTACTTCATTATTTAAGAAAAGTAAAATCTTATATTTAGAATTAGAATAGAAATTGCAGTTTAGTCTTACTGGATGGAATTTTGATCCCACAAAAATCGTCATTTGTTTGTTTGTTTGTTTTTTCCAATTTTAGTCACAAAGTGAATAAAATTAACGAATTTTCACTTGACCATTAAATGGTTAATATCAAGGTGAGTAATATTTTAATTATTAATACTTAAAATATATGAATTTTACATTCAATAATTAAGTAAAATATCATGAGATTTTAATTATTATTATTTTATATGAGCCACTGATTTTAAAGATGTGTGCTAAATAAAAGAATGATTTGAAAGTAAAAAAAATAATAAATCTGATGAATAACATTAAAAATATAATTAAGGTGTAAGGCTTGCTAATAAATATGAAAACAAATAATAAATAAAAAATTTATAATTAATAAAATTAAACATAAAACTTTTAAAACTTATATTTATCGATGTAAATGAATCGAATTATTTATTTATTTTTATTTTTTTGTGCTTATTAGTTCTATGTGTAACTTTTAGGTGATAGATAATAGTTATTTGTAATTTTATCCATGTAGGTTGGAAATTTTAATATTTAAAAAAATGATTATTTTAATTTTAAATAAATTTTTATTTGCTATTAGTTTTTTAATATAATATATAAATATCATATTACAATATAAAATAATAATTATTTTCGTTATTTAATATTAATACGTAAAAAGGTTGTAATTCAATTGAGAAATTAATAGGTAATCTTGAGTTAAAATAACGAGTGATTTCTAAAAAGTTATATAGACTAAATAGTTCACGTGTTTAATATATTTTTAATAAAAAAAAATTATAAACGCAATCAATTAATAGGAAAACTACAACATAAAAATTTTAATATTTAAAAAGGAATGCAAAAAATAAAATGTTATGTTGCAATGAAAAATCCAACGATAAGATGTTCCACTAAAAATTCTAAAGGATATTTCATTTGCATAGCTTTCATTTGAAAATATCATTGGCTATTCAAACATAGATCAAATTATAATATAATGGAATTTTAATGGATTTAATGATTCGAGTTACCATTATTTATTTCTTGTGTGAATTTTCTTTTTGGGAACATATCAATGAAAGTTGCATTGGAAAGCTAATTGCAGTGATAGATACAGACAATTTCATATTGGGGGCACTATTTAGCTAATAGAAAAAATATACCATCAAAATAACATAATGTCATTACAATATTTAAATTTTACTTTTCAAAATTTGTCATCTTTCTCATTTGTAATACATGTTTACAAATCTTTACAGTTACAATAAGTTAAAAGTATTATATAATTTTTCTCAACTAAAAGTAAGCAAATCATTGAAAAAAATATATCTTTTAAAATCTGATGAACAAAAAATTTATGTTGTAGTATAGATGACTCGACAATTTTGTTGATGAATTTATAAATTATGACTAATTGATTATAATATTAATGAGAAAATTGTAATTGTATATAATTTAATATTAAGATATATAAATAGATTATATATTAACACATATGACCAAAATAATATATTCTTTAAAAATCTTATGAACAAAAAACCTATGTGGTAGTATAGTTGACTCGACAATATTGTGATTTAATTTATAAATTATGAATAATTGATTATAATATTAAAGACAAAACTGTAATTGTATATAATATAATATTAAGATATACAAATAATTGATATATTAACATATATGACCGAAAAATTTCTATACATAATATTATGAATTTTTAAGCAAATACAAAATTTAAAAACATATAAAAGAACAATATAAAATAAAAAAAATATTACTAAGTTGTAATACGTACTAATAAATATTAAAAAATAACAAATAAATATGTTATAATTAATAAAAGTAAACATAAACCTTTTAAAACTTATATTTATCAATGTAAACGAGCAGGGTTGTTAAATGCTTGTTAATTTTTGTACTTATTAATTCTATATGTAACTTTTAGGTGATATACAATAGTTATTTTTACCTTTATCCATGTAGGTTAGGAAAAAAAAACACTTGATTATTCTAATTTTAAATTACTATTTATTTGCTATTAGCTTTTTACATATAATATATATATATATATCATATTAAATATATAAATAATAATTATTTTAATTATTTAACATTTAATATGTAATAAATGTAACTCAATTGGGAATTTATTAGGTAATCTTGAGATAAAATAATGAGTTACTTTAAAAAAATTATATGGATTAAAAAGTTCATGTGTTTAATGTATGTTATTAGAAAAATTGTAAACACAGTTATTCAATAACTACTACCTAAAATATAATGTTTAAGAAGGAATACAAAAAAAAATGGTATATTGCAATGGAAAATGCATCTGTAAGATATTCCAAAGAAAATTCCAACGGATATTTCATTGGTAAAGCTTTTATTGGAAAATTTCATTAACTATTCCAACAGAGAACAAATTAAATTACATTGAAAATTTTGTGAATTAAATCATTCCAATTACTATAATTTATTATTGTTTGAATCTCTGTTGAATTTTTTTACAGATCGTATTTCAACCGTTGAAAAAACTGTCATTGAAATTGTAAAAAAATTAATAGAAGTTCCATTAATAAACTAATTGCAGTGGCGGATCCAAAATAATTTTATATTGGGCACTATATAGTTAATAGAAAAAGTATACCATCAAAATAACATAATGCCATTACAATTTATAAATTATACTTTACATAATTTGTCATGTTTCTAGCTTGTAATACATTCTAACACATCAGGTCACAATAAGTTAAAAAGTATTTAATAAAAAAAATGACAATTTTTCTCAATTCAACATAAGAAAATCATTGAAAATATTATTCTTTTTGAAAAAATTATAAACAAAAAATCTATGTTGTAGTATAGCTGACTCGGCAATATAATTGATTAATTTATATATTACGAATATATAACTAGAATTCCCCTTGCATTAGTTATAAAAGACATAAAAAATATATTTTGAAGATATAGAAAAAAATATGTTGCAAAAGAGAGATTTGAAACTGTCATCAAGATTGAAATAATATAATTAGAGGATAAAATTGTAATTTTGAGATATATTATATTTTCTTTAGTTGTGATGCCGCGTTTATGTTGTAACATTAATAAAGTTATGAGTTGAATTAAATGATAATTGGTTGAGTTGTGAATTAATTCATTATGTATCTTTCTTTCTTTCAATTTCATTTTTAAAATAGGGGACATGATAAAAATTATGAAAAAATGTTCCCACAAATTTTTATTAGATTCCTTATGCTATATGCTTTAGGATGGAGGGTTGTGTCGGATCTATAAAATAAACATAGATCTGCTCATGATTCCAATAAAATATTTTTGCTAGAATTAGATTCCTTGTGGCATATTTTTCTTACATAGATCTGAATATTCATACTAAGAAAAAACAATTAATGGATGTAAATATACAACTATCACCAATATTAACAATGTGAATTAAAAGGAGAAATAAACGAGTTGTATGTGAAACTTTATTCAACTAACACATAAATTCAATGAGTATGAAAATGAGTTAGTTGCTTAATATTTTTCTCAAACATTGGGAAAAATTCTAAACCTTTTAATCTAATAATCAGTATAAAAGTACATTTTCTTATTAAATATATTATTATTATAAATATATAAATAAGTAATATTAAATTTTATTTTATCTTATGTGATTATATTAGTTGTTGTCTAATAAATAAGATATTTTGATAACAACGTCATTATATGAAACACGTACAAAAAATGATGCAATACATATAAATGTGCTAGAATTCGTTTAATAAATAAAGTATTATTTATCAATAGAAATAAAAACTAATAAAATAATAGTAGTGGAATTGAAAAAAGAAAACGTCTGAATTTTCTTAGACAAGTATGAATACCAATATTTAGAAACAAAAAATCTTTTAAAAATAATACTTTATTTGTTGCTAGCGTTTAAATATATGGACTCTGTAAGAAATTGGATCTCATAAATAATGATCCTATATTATCAATTTTTAATTTAAATAGTTAAAAATTTAAAACTTTATAATACATAATGTAGATTTTAATAATAATTTCGTAATAATAACGTTCAAAGATGACTAAGAGTCATAAAATAGAATTTTAATTCTTCTCATCTCAAATATTTTAACAAATGATATGCTTCTCAATGTTGTCTCATTGTTTTGTTTGTTTGATTTTGTCATTGGTGAAGAATCAAGAAAGGAACTTTATCTCGAGTTTTTTTGAGTATTATGTATGATGCATAAAGTTGGACGATAAAAGCATTAAAAAGTTATTGGACACATAAATATTACAAATCCAAACGAATGTGAAAGATATGAAGATAAATAATTCTAAAATCATTGCAAGAACTAGATGGTCAATGATTTGCAAACAATAGATTATATAGTTCGTCTATCTTCCAAATAAATGACATTGAAAATGAAACGTTGGAGCCTGATCAAAACATTTTTGAATGTTTGAATGAAGTTGACACTTCTTATAGGAATATTTATAATTTCATTGGTGTATTGTGCTTGAACATATGTGTAATTATTTTATAGTATTAACTTTTAGTTAATGTGTGATGATTTTAAAAGAAAAATCTCGGGAAAAGTACATGTGATAAATATTTTGAATAGTCAACTTTTATTTAGAGATGAAATTCATTCCCTTCCTTCCGTAGGGAGATACATCCATGGGGTAGGTATCAATAATTTGTCGATATATATAGAGAGAGTAATTTAATAGTTTATACAATGATAAAAAAATAATCAACAATTTTAATGACACGGTTTATTATTTTGCAGATATTTTCATGCATGGTTAGTAGAAATATAAAGATAATACAACCATGAAGTTTCACTATATGTTTGGGTATTATCCTGGTGGGATTTTTTTAGTTGTTTTAGTTTTTGTTTGTGTTAGTTTTTTTGTGTAGTTGCGAGTTTGTCATTCTAGCGTTGCTAGACGGTTCTAGGCGATCTTCGGATTAGCCTCCCAGTTTTATAGCCTCTGGTTGTATTATTCAACTTCTGACTGCTTTCTTTTAAAGTGCGATTTTTAATACTGGGCTCCAAAGAATATTTCTTATGAAAACGTCAAAACCAAAATGAAAGAGAACGCTATCGAATTATCTAACATAAAAAAATAAAAGAACTAATGCATGTATAATATATATTAGTCATTATTTAGTTATTTAGTGTTTTTGTTGGGGTTGTAATATGTTATTTAATTATTTTCATATTAGGACATCGTTAAGTTATTTTAGAAAAAATAATTTGTTTCTATATTTTGTTTCATTAATTTGTTCAACATTTTGTTTCATTCTTGCAAGGATATATTTAATAAATTAATTTATTTATTTTACAAAACTTAATCGGCAAAAAACGATTATATTATGAGCTCACTTGTTCTACGTTTTATTTCATTCTTGCAACGATATTTTTAATAAATTAATTAATTTATTTTACTAAACTTAATTGGAAAAAAACATTCGCCACCACGTGCATCGCACGTGCACTTTACTAGTATTTCTAATAATATAAGTTTATCGAGTTGGTTCAACTAAAATTTTTCATTTTTTATTTTCATATCATATTATGTTGCTTTTATATAATCGATTCAAATTGTGTCTATCAAATTCAATTCAAATAAAAATTGTCATTGAAAATATATTTAAAAATTGAAATAAACAAAGATATTTTGTAAGCCTTATCCAATCATACATCAGTCTTCACTCTTCATCAGTCTTCACAAGTGGGTGGGTGGCCATTGAATACTTGATTATTTAATTTTATTTTATACATTTCAAGTGGGTGGACACTTGATGACTTGATTATTTAATTTTATTTAATTGTTAAAAAGTCATTAATATGACCCACAGAGAAGACCAAAGGAACGGCACTGATTAAGATCTGGATCAGCTAACCTAGTTTGGTTAATCTTAATTTATTTAATGTTTAACAGAAATTAAACAGAAAATAATCTAAATTTATACTTAAATAGTGAATATTAGGATTCAACTTAAATAGTAACACTGGGTTTTCAACTGTTTGATAATTAAATATACATCCATAAACTCGTATGAGCTAATTTGCCGATTTTAAGATAGTTTGGAATTAATATTTCAGTTACAGTAGCTTATGCTATAGTATAACTCACGGGATTATTAAACACAAAAGATGAATGGATATTTAAAGCTTGAGTTTAACTGCAAAATAAGTAAAATAAATTTACACTAATTTTATGTAACAGTAGAAAATATGAACTCATACCATATACTCTTTGATAGTATCATAACCAAGAACAATATCATTTAATTT